TCTTGAAGCAGTCTCTATAAGGTTTTTTAGTATATTGATTTTTTTTTGTTTGGATTCATGAGCGGAATTCCAGAGGATATAGAGGCCTGTGTGAGTGATTTTTTTTTTGTGAATTTTGGTTTTGAACTGTTCGTGTCGGATCTAATAATGTCGAGGTTAAGAAAAGACAACTGTTTGTTACTTTCGTGTTCAATGGTGAATTTAATGTTAGGGTGAATGGAGTTTATGTGTTCAAAGAAAGTGTGTATGTGTTTGATAGAAGTGAAACCAGAAAATTGTAGTCGACATATCTGTACCAGTATGGTGGAGGATAAAATGCAGATTGTATGGCTTGTGTTTCAATCTGGGTCATAAATATGTTGGCGAGAACAGGTGAAACAGCGTTTCCCATGTTTAAACCACCTGTTTGAGGAACGTTTTTGTTGTTGAATATAAAGTTCTAAGAGGGAAAAAAAAGTGTATTGTGGGATGTGAATTATAGGATTGGCCGAAACTTCCTTCAATTATATCAAACTTTATATTTTCAACGAATGATGTGAATCATTAGTAACATTAAGATTATTAGCGAATTTTGAAAGCATGTATATATAGCTACTGATTATTTAATTAAAACTAACAGAAGTACGCCTGAGTTAGTTATTCGTGTAATGTGGTTGTTTTATCAACATTGCAGTTGGTTTTCATCAATATTTTAATCTCCCCATCACAAAAGATCAAGTAATCACTTTTTTATTAGTTCCTTTGAGATCCTACCAAATACAGCTTTTAGCATACCTAGTCTTGGTGATTACATTTTGCTTATCATGTGACACATTTTAACTTTATAGACTGCTATAAACAGAATGCGTCATCATTATGTGCGAAGGATATCCATTTTATGATAATAATTTGAAAAGTATAAAGTACTTAAAACCCAGAAATATAATAATGTTCACTTGTCTGAAAGGCTTAACGGTGTTGTCACTTGATTTAAGTAATAATCATGATTGTCCAGCACTTTCTATATTCAGAGTGTGTAACTGTTGCTACAACTAAAATATATATTAAATATTTAACGATCATTATATTAATATAACTTTTTCAAGCTTGTACAGGATGACGATTTTGTAGAAATAAATCTAGAGCAATCAAATCTTCCTTTCTTTAGTGCTATGGTTCTCTACTTATATCATATTTAATGGATATTATAGAAAGAAATGACCTGGTTGAATGTTAAGAACTATTATCAACAACAGTTGCACTTTTTTTTTCCATTTTTCATTATTGTGATATGGTATACCCAAAATATTTATACAGATTTGTTCAAAACAAAATTTTTGATGTGACTGGAGGAAAAACACCTGCAAAAATTATATCTCTTGCTAATAAAGTTTCAAAATTTCAGGAGTGATACTTTGAATTACTTAATTTTCAAAGTGACTTTTTTAGTATATATATTTGTTATTTTGACTTTGTGCAGGATTACAAGATATTTCGTCTAATTGAATTTGTTTGATATTAAATGCTGCTTTTCTTAAAACATGACTTTAGTATATAGTGAATTTCATTTTGTAAACAGTAAAATTTTACATTGTTTAGTATTGTTCAAGCATTCTGAAGTCTTCCGGTGGCTCAGCGAATAAATATGAGGGCTTCTAATACTAGAAATTGGTTTCATTACCTTTTGTTAATTACTTTAATCGTCATATTCCCCATGGCTGTTACTTCCTTTTCACAGGATATATAGTAAATTGTTTTCTTTTTATAGCATTTAACTTGGTTGTATTTTATTTATTGTAATTTAATTATTGGTATTCATAATACTGTTCACTTGTTGTATTAACGTCTAACTTATTATTACGTAACTTCACGAGCATTGGTATTCTTGCTGTACTGTTCTTCTGCTAAACTCTGTAGCTTGTCAGTGGTAATTTATCTCAGATTTTCACACACACAAAACATTTGAAATTAAAGTGAGAAATAAAAATTTCTTAAAGTATAACTATTAAATATTTACTTAAAAGCTTCAGCTGTAACTGAATGAGGCAGTTAATAAACTGTATTGTTAGTTCCCCAACTTAAAGTTAAAAGAACATTGATAAATGAGAATGTAATAGGTAGAAACGAAAGAGAAGCTATTTGGGTTGGTTGACCACTGTGTAAAACCAAGGATTTGCTTAATTGAATAAAAGAATAGTAAATATAATAAATATCATAGTATTATTAAAAATTAGTTGAAGAAATGACCACAGTATATAAGACGCCATATTCGAACGAATAGTTTGTTAAACCAAATCTACGACAGTGTATGAAGCAAAAAGCCACTGTTGATATGGTACGTAAGTGAGGTTTACTCCATTTTCTTTAGTGTTGTTTCTTTAGCAGTGTCGGTTGAAATGTCTAATACGTCTGTTCTTATAAGTCTTATTAATAAAATTCATTAAGTTTATTATTGTAATTATATTATTAAGATTACTTTGTTAACTTAATATGTCAATTTAAAAGCTATTGTGTATACTATCTATGCGTAAAATTAGTTTATTGTTAAGCACAAAATTACACAATGGGCTATCTGTACTGTGACCACCATGGGATCGAAATCTGGTTTTTAGCGTTAAATGCGTTTAGACTTTCCGCTGAGACACTAGGGGGCGAGATAGGTTTATTCTATTTTTATTTTGTGTTATTCTTGTTTACAGTGTTCATGAGAATATTTAACATGTATATTTTTATCAATTTTAATATAATACTGTACTTTTATTATAAAGATCAATTTGAATTGTTGGCTTAATATATAGATTTATGACTAACTTAGATCTTTTAAGCTGACCCTCGTGAGATTTTGGGTTTGAATTGTTGACTTATAACATAGATTTATGACTAACCTAGATCTTCTAAGCTGACCGACCCTCGTGAGATTTTGGGTTTGAATTGTTGACTTATAACATAGATTTATGACTAACCTAGATCTTCTAAGCTGACCGACCCTCGTGAGATTTTGGGTTTGAATTGTTGGCTTATAATATAGATTTATGACTAACTTAGACCTTCTAAGCTTACCGACCATCGTGAGATTTTGGGTTTGAATTGTTGGCTTATAATATAGATTTATGACTAACCTTGATCTTCTAAGCTGATCGACCCTCGTGAGATTTTGGGTTTGAATTGTTGACTTATAATATAGATTTATGAATAACCTAGATCTTCTAAGCTGATCGACCCTCGTGAGATTTTGGGTTTGAATTGTTGGCTTATAATATAGATTTATGAATAACCTAGATCTTCTAAGCTGACCGACCCTCGCGAGATTTTGGGTTTGAATTGTTGGCTTATAATATAGATTTATGACTAACCTAGATTTTCTAACCTGACTGACCCTCGTGAGATTTTGGGTTTGAATTGTTGGCTTATAATATAGATTTATGACTAACCTAGATCTTCTAAGCTGACCGACCCTCGCGAGATTTTGGGTTTGAATTGTTGGC